GCATTGCGGTGTCAAAAAATGGGCCTACTATGCGAGCAATCGCGTGCTAATCCGGAAACTGTCAAGAGCGGCACTCGAAATGCGAAGTGACTTTGATATTAGCACCTGCCCCAAACACGGTGCGCAAATAAAAAGCCATTTTACATGTATGGAATGAAGAGATTGAGGTTTATCGCACTGATTTCTTGAAACTGGTGACAGGGTTGGCTTGATTTTTTTTAAGTGATTTCAATCATGATTTAAATCACCTGACTTTTTTGGAAAAAATTGCTACTTAAATCAGTTGATTTTTTCAAGAAACTTTATATTTCCACTCAAAAAATATAAATCAGAACACAAATAATTCTAAGAAATGAAAATCAAAATAGAAACTGCACATGTGAACTTAAAAATTAAACGGTATTAATGGTAAACTCAATAACACTAAAACGGAAATCACTTCTCTTTCTCTTCATTTTCGTTATAAAGTCTGAAAAGGAACACTAATTTCTCTTCTTTTTTGATTCCCAATCTGTTCCTGATATCCGAATGAACAAATCCGAATGTGCTGAACATCCTTTCGACAGACGCAGAAGATGCAGTTGCACAAAGAAACTGTTTTATAGTGGACAAGTGTTTCGCAATTTCCGGTTCATCTCTCTGTGCCTCTAGCGACCACTAAAGTCCGTTTTTTTTTAATTAAATTTATTTGAAAGGACTGCAGCGAGCGTTGATTTTAATAACTAGTGGCAACAATCCCCAGTTTCCATGAAGCTCACTGATAGGCTCCAAAGCCAGATTCTTCTCTTCAGGAGTTTTTATTTGAACACCCTGTTTCCCATTTCGAATGACGCCGTTGAAAATTTCCGGATTGCTCATATAGTAGGCCCATTTGTTCGCCGCCTCGTGTCACTACGGCCAGACTGGCTGGCCTACAAGCGCTAAATCGCCGGTTATACATGGATGTCTGCGAATGTTTTTCGACACTAATGCGGACCACAAACTGATAAAAATTGGGGAAAATCGGGCAATGGCACCAAGAAAATGGCGCTTTAAGACCTGCTTTCAGCGCGTATCAACGTTGATAAACCCAACATAATCCGGCGAATTGTAACAGTATTTGGCCCGCTCGGCAAAACCGGAAAATTCATTAGAATCCATTGGAAAATGAGGCCGGCAGCAGTTTTTGATAATTTATGTAAACTTGCCCAATTCACGTTCGGGCCCAGCATTAGCCGCTCCCTCTCCATTCCACATAAAATGCAAGAACAGACCGGCTCAGGTCGGTTTTATTCAAATTTCGGACATGCTTTGTACCCGGAAACAATGCGGCTCTATAATGGCGTAGCGAACACAATTAAAACACCTAAAAAAGCGTCGGCCGTTGTCAACACTTTTACGTATTCTTTTCACCAGGTTTTTCTCCTGCGGTTGTTCAACTCGACCGAACGGGGCCCCGAAGACCGCGGGGGTTTGTTTGCTTGCTTGCCTGTTGAATTCCAGATCATCTGTCAGGTGCAGAATTTTACCGAAAATAGCATTAAATATTGATTCTGCATCGCTCGTCAGAAGGCCTACGAAACCAACAGCACCACAAAACCTTCTAATAATAATATACACTTAGATAAGGTCCGCCAGCCAGTGGCGCCTGCTAATTGACAGTTGACCCCGCCAATTACCGAATTAATCTAGAACACGCAACCGCACGAAATTACGGTGCCAAAATGGTTCCTAGAAGAGCGCGCACACTCGGCAACAACGCCACTTTATTACATCGCTTTTAATAAGTATAATTACTGCTTCCTCCGGCCCAAAAACCCTCCCAAGTCGATCATTAATATAACTCAAAAGTCCGCCGGCCACTCCTCCTGTCCATACGGCAAAAGTTCCGAAATGAGAGCCTTAAAACTAATTTCGGTGGGTTTTTCTTTTGCCTGAACGCTCAGTCAAGAGGGCTGCCATTAATGGCCAAAGCTTCACTTTTGCTGACGCTCATTGACAGGTGTCAATTTCCCCATGGAGATTGAAACTCAAAGAAGGCCAACTACTAGACAAATGCCAACGGCTAAATCAAAGCCCCATTGTGTCAACTGTCTAAAACTGGAATCGAGCAAATTTGAAGCAGTGCGGCAACGTTGAGCCATCCAACCTTTGATCTGTGGAAGCACAGTGACATAGTGCGGCGTTGCCGGCCGGGCTTGACGCGCCTCCGTTAGGCAGTGACGTCGCGCCGACAACCAGCTGAGAGTGAAGGTGTGAAACGGGGCGACGTTGCCAACTAGTCGTCGGTAATTATCCTATACCAGCAGCGGCCATTAGCGCAATTACACACAATGTTGATTCAGGGCCAAGCCCCGTGCATTTCGGTGTGAAATCGCCAATTTGAGTCCCAACATCGAGTTCCAGTTTACCATAAAAATTAATAACGCAATTTTCACACCGTTGCGGTTCCCTCGGCCGCGCAACTGGCGCGTGACCGTAAAATTCGATTTGAAAGACGGCCAAAACTGCCATTTTGCGTAAGAAATTGAGTAATTGCTGTCTGCCTGCTGGCGTTCCAGCGCCAGAAAAATGCGTGCAATCCATTTCGATGCTGCTGCGGCGCCTTTTGGCTCACAATGGCAACTGCGTGACACTGACACTACCTGTCAAAGGTCACTTGACAGCAACATTAACAGTCTGTCTGTCAAAATTTGGCAGTTAGTGCTTCGTAACGAGTGACTATCGGGTGTTGAATGTGATTATTGAAGTGCCACTAATCGGAGTTGAATGGCTCATTGTTGAGTCACTTGAATGTGGAAATTTCGCACTGAAATTGACTGAGCACCACTCGAACTAGAGCGCGGACAAAAGCCGAATAGTGTAGGAATCCAGCGTGGAGGAAACAAAGACGATATGGGTGGGAACCAGCAAGTTGAGCGTTGGCCACGGTGTATGAGTGGCGTTTTTTGGCTGCACCAAGCCACCAAATCGGCCTGATTTTACCCCCATTGGGATTATCGGATTTAGCCAAGTTTATCGTCGCTTTATCAACACTGAGAAATCCGTCGTAAATAAAGCGGTTTAAGTGGCGCAAATATTTGCTCGAAAATAATCTTGCTGGCTAGATAACTAGAGCGGCCTGTTATCTATGAAGGGAAAAAATGGCTAAATCGAGGAATGTTTCATTGCGATTGGACACGGGGGACTGGAAAAATGGCTGCGCCTCGCACGGGTGCCATCCTTTGACCTTTTCCAATCGCATTGCGACTGATTTGATGATGAACAACAATTTCACCATCAGGAAAAGAACATTGTGATGCATTAAGGCAGCCAACCCACAACGGCAATTAATATGGAAAAATGAAGAAAACCAGTTACGGGTGTGTTCGATTGATCAAGGCAAAAGTGGAAGGTTCGGCTTAACCTACGGTAACTTCCTGAAGGTGTCTCGAACACTGTGTTAGTCAGCGTTTGTGCAATTCCACCATGGAAACGGAATTTCCAACTCTTAACTACAATGAGGTGACAAAACTCGAGTGTCCATACACGATTGAGGAAGAAAGATTATAAAAACCCGGCCGAGTGTACAGGGTGATTCAGTAATAATCGGAAACCCATTCAGATGACGCTTTCCACAAATACAGGGTTGACACATGGCGCAATTTGAAGCCTTCGTTCCATTGTTATCTGTTCCACTAATGTTAAAACATACTTAGTTTGTTTGTCGTTAAAATTCCCGCATTATCAGAGCACAGTGTCTGTTCGTTAAACCGATTTTTATTGATTGATGATTTAAAAATTTCCCTTTTTGGCGTCCAGCTCTATGAAAAATTCCTCGAAAACCAGAAAAGCTGGAAACTTGTTCAGAGTGGCACTCGATAGAGAGGATTGCGGTCTGTATTTCGGGGTTCATTTTTACACTTCAATCGGAGATTTTTGGGCGAACTTTCAAAAATTGGCTTTTTGTGCAAGACTACAGACTTTGGGCACGAGCAGGGAAAAACAATTTCTGCAAACCCAAAAAAAGGTGCGAACACGCACAGCGTAGCACTCGATAGAGATCGTGCTGTGCATTCTGACCAGCTTTTTGGACAAATTTTGAACGAGAAAAAATCCCCAAAACACAAGATTCGGAAGGAAGAAAAATAAAACAGTGAGAAAATTACTTTTTCTCGCTGACCGCCATTTGGTGCGAGGTTTCCTAATCGTTCCTTGTTATCGAAAGTTGGTAAAATGGAAACCAACTTGACAAAGGTCAGGCATTAAAGTCGCACAAAACATTTATTGCAATTGTATATACTTTCCTGACTGTGTTTCAATTTCATTTCTTCGAAGAAGTGCATGCCAAGGCTTAAAGCAGCAACAACGCTACACATAAAAACTGATGATGGTGGAAAAATACACCGAAACGTATTTTGATTGATAAATAGACAATAAATGACTGAAACCCAGGAATGAATTTGATTTGGAATTTATTGCAATGAATGTCCTTGTACAGGGTGTCCAAAGGCAAGTTCTGGCCTGCTTATCGATCGCCATTTGATATCAATGATGTAATTAGTCGCGTATCGAAGCGTCTTTCTTCTAAGCGTGTCGGAGCCCTTGAGCCCACAATCGTGGTACAAATGGAACAATGACCGATCGCTTATCGGTGCTTAAGTGATTTGAGAATTTTGGGGAGTATTTGGCGAAAACAGTCAACGGTATTTGCTGCTTAATGAAGCAACCGAAATGGGAAAATGTGAAGTTTGCCACATACATTGTGTGGCAGGCTTTCAGCAACATTTTACCCGATACGCCATGAAGGTCTCGAGATATACGCTATGAATCAAGGCGCGCATTAACGGGCCCTAATAGATTGGCCATGAGGCCCGGGCGCCACACAGCAGATACGCGCTGAATGCCTTTTTAAGTGCAGGCCTGGCACGCCACTGCTGCCACTTTGACGAACTTGTTTATTGCTTAGATTAGCCTTAAACGGCTCGATAACACTGGAGCTGATTCAGCTAATCGCTGGCGCTGCGCCCCCTTGTACTCACCAACTTGCAGCACTTGCTCCACACAGCCCGTTTCCAGCAGTTTCATGCCCTTGCAAAAGGCCAAACTGCCTGGCTCCTGATTGTTCTGGATGCGGGAGAGGCTCGAATACATGCAAATGTCGCGCTCGTTTCGTGGGAAACTCCAGAAAACGATCCTCCGCTGGACCGGTTCCGGTATACGATCGTACTTCTCCTCGATGCGCGCAAACGGGATCGTTTCCGCCACTTTTTTCGCCGTTATATTCAACAGAGTGTCCGGATTGCATGGGGGCGGCAGTCTCAAACACATGGGAGCACAACAGGGGGGCAGAGCCCCCACCGGGGGACGTCGAGGCGCTTGGGCGTCGTCCGCCATACGTCGCCGAACGCGAACAGTCACAGACTGACAGGACTCGGCCAGTTCCAGCTATCTCCAATGCTGTGAACAGCGCCATCGCACTTGAATCCCCTGTTGTCACCTATACCCTTTTTACCCTGGCATCCACCTGTTTTACTCACTTGAAAATCCGTATATTGGCAGTACAAAAACCGTGCATCCCGGTCCAAGTTGCATATAAATCAAAGCGATTTGTCGTGTAGCAATTTAATAAATACACATAAAAACTAGGGCAATTCAATCCTCAACTTCAACTGTCCCAATTCAATGCGGGAATTTTGCAATAAACTAACGGCAACCGCGCGGGTGATGTTGTGCCCCCACCGCGCCTTCCAGCTGATTACCCCCACCAGCACGGATCATTTGTTTATGTCGGCCATGTGCGGGCGAAGATGCGTTTGCGGCGCTGCCGCCCCTTGCCAAGATTACTGAGAAATGCAATTAACAATGAAAAAGCGCCCATGTTGCCTGGCAACGGAACTATCCAGATCGCCTCCCACGATGCTCAATTGTTCATTGATTAGCCATTAAGCTGCGAGCGTCTAACCGTCTTGCCGCCCTTCGGCCTGCCAGAATTTAATTCCCTTATCAGGGCGGCGAAGGGTGCGAAAGATAACGCGGGCAAATGTGCTTCGGGTGAGTGAAGTTGACAAAACAGTTGCCAAACTGAGTTCTTTTGAGGTGTCAAAAATGTACAACCACGAAACAGTTACATCAACAGATAATGATGAGTCGTGAATGTGTCCGAACCCTGTGAGGTTCTGCTTTGCGCCCTAACTGAAGGTTTTTGTCTTGCAAGGGTCACTACGAACAATTCGTTTGTCTATGCAACAATTGGCACAGTGACGGATAGTTTCCTGGAAAGTAATTGTTTTGCCACCTGCAGCTACCCCAGGGGTCAAAACCCCCGTATTCCAGTGGCGCGCGGCTGCGCTCCTAATAGTTTCGCCACTTTCGGATAGAAAGTGCGAAGCGCGCCACTGGAATAAGTTACCCGCATGGTGGCTAATTGCCTCAATAAAAACCCCATTAATTTTCCTTTTCTAACAACTGCCTTAATTGCGAAGCGCTAAAAGCTGTCCATAGTTTTACCATCTGCTTAAAGGCAAAAAAATACGGTTATTTTGACCTGAAGGTGTGGATGGTTGTCAAGGCAAAAATGCGTTATAGAATCGCAGATTTTTTATCATTGCAGCTTTATTCTATTTTATAAGCACAGCTAAACTCAACAGAGGAGAACTAACTAGTACGAAACCGGTTTTGCTCAGGAAAACGTAAAAATGTTGTAAATGTCGCCAATTCATGCACTATTATGAGCAACAATATTTTCAAAATAATAATATATAATAATAATAATAAAATACATAATTAATTTAACTAAAATCCACACAGCATTTTCAATAATTTAATGATTAAAACAAATTGTTCCAGGCCTCTAGCAACGTTAGGCAACCTCGCTTGTAGCGTTTGCCTTGCGTGCTCACTTGACTACATCGTCTACATCCTAACCTCATTAAATCTACTACTGTGGCTTTTTGAAGCAAGTTAAAAGCAAACAAGAGCAAGACGAATTATAAGGTTTATTTCGATAAAAAACAGCCATGGACGATGAGGCTGAGACCTACAAGTTATGGCGAATCCGAAAAACTGTAATGCAAGTAAGTGGAAAGCAGCAGCACCCACATGGGATGGCTTGGGCTAAAGGGATCGTTAATTGCAGCTTTGCCACGACCGGGGCTACTTGGTGACCCAGGATGAACTGGATCAGACGTTGGAGCAGTTCAAAGAGCATTTTGGCGACAAACCCAGGTGGGAGACGGGTTTGCTTTGAATTCAGACGCCGGCTAAACAGTGTATTTTCCAGCGAGAAGAGGCCCTCAAGAAGCGACTTGATTGTTTTGGTGGCCCACAACGATGACCCCACCGACCAGATGTTCGTGTTCTTCCCGGACGAGCCAAAAATCGGCATTAGAACCATTAAGACCTATTGTCAGAGGATGCAGGACGAGAACATTCACAGAGCCATTATTGTTGTTCAGGTTGGTACCTTTACGAGCTGCAATGGCTGAATGCCTCTGGGGGCTCCAGAAATGTTCGGTTACTTTATTCTGGGGGCTTTAAGGGCGAAAGGGGTCCAATGTTGTTCACGACATAACCAAAGATTTTATGGCCGCGTTGCCGCTAGTCAGTATCGGTCAGGTATTCGAGGACTAGAAATGAACATTTTGAAATCGTTTTCGAATAAACTTTCACACATAAGGAGACGATTTGAATTCGAAACTAAGTGGAATTTCGCTGTTTCTATGTTGATCCAAAAATAGGTGGCTGTAGATGAGTTTCTCTAAATAATGTTGGAAATAGTTGAAGCCTGCTAAACCAAATGCGGCAACTTGGCAAAGCTGTTTGTCAGCGTGATTTTTCTGACATAAACAATAAGCAAATCAACCGGTTAAAAGCAAAAAAATATAGATTCGAACTGGTAATCTGTGATTTTCGGTCGTGAAACCCGCCAAGAACATCAACAAACGATTAGAATGCCTCGGTTGTGTTGTGAGGGTTTGGATTGTCTCCTTGAAGTGTGGCCCCATTTCAACAGGTAGGGACACCATTTCTGGGAATCCCACTGGGTGGGCGTTCAGGCAGTTTAGTTTTTTAGTTTAGAGTGTTTCGTTTGTTCCAGGCTGGCATGACACCGTCAGCCAAACAGTCCTTAGTTGATATGGCCCCGAAGTATATTCTGGAACAGTTTTTGGAGTCCGAGCTGCTGATCAACATCACTGAGCATGAGTTGGTGCCCGAACATGTAGTGATGAATCCTGAGGAGAAGCAGGAATTGTTGGCCAGGTACGGATCCAGTTCTTTGCTACTTACTTATTAACTCATCTTTTTATGCGAATTTTGTAGTCATCAAGTGATTTTAGCCACAAGGCAATTCTCTTAAGTGTTCCATGTTGTTGCAGGTACAAATTAAAAGAAAACATGCTGATGAGGATTCAGGCTGGCGATCCAGTAGCTAGATACTTCGGGCTAAAGAGAGGACAGGTAAGTGTTGATTAAGATCCATTATTTTCAACATCCTTACTGGTGGTGTTTCGCAGGTAGTGAAGATTATTCGCTCGTCCGAAACAGCTGGGCGGTATATATCTTATCGACTGGTCTGCTAAAGCAGCAGAATGTTTGTGTAATTTTTATATTGATAGAGTTTTAAGGCACAGGCTGTTTATTGCTTGATTCTGGTGTTTTTGTCTCAAATTCCAGCCAGTCAATAAGAATTGAGCGCTTCTAATTGAGTAAAAACAAAATAAATTTATATACATTTATTAAATTAATACAGGGAGCTGTAAACACTAAGTGAATTTCCTTCAATTCCAATTCGAGCACCTGGATAAGCAGCACTAAATCGAACAGACTGATTCTTTACCTATTTAAAGTACTCTAAATCGAATGGTTAACTGGTATTCCCTATGGTAAACGCAGTAAAAATTAACTAGTCTAAGTAAACCTACTTATTTACAGCTGCAAGAGGTCTTGTAAATTGTTGGATTAGTGCGTTTAACAACGGCCGCATGCCCAGTTAATTATATTTACAGGTCGGATGAGGGCCGTTTTCCCTTCACTCCTAAACTAGCCGTATTAAATAGACTTAAACTACTTATTGCGACGGTTTGAACTGTTAAGAAAACACGTTTAGAGTACGACTAGAAAGTACGGTGTGTTGGATGTGTGGCTGTGTTTTAGGGGCCCAATACTCGGTTAAAATGTGGCAATTAGTATTTTTTCTCCTTCAAGCTCGATGGTTCAAGCCTTCGTGAAGAGATTCCTCACGTGAAAACAATTTAGAGGCTCGAAGATTGGGTGTTTACGTGAGCAGTCGCGTAAATTCATGTTAAGATCTGCGTTGAGTTATCCATTCACCCACGAGTTTCCCATAACTATGAGGAAAATCCGGCCCCGTAACACAAACATCAGCTGCACTTGCCCCACACAGGTGGTTCCTAATGTTCCCTCTTCTGTCCGTTATAGTCCACGTACACTCTGACAACCTCTCCAGAGTATTTCCTTTGGGAGGGCATGAAGTAGAAGTCGGCAGGCATGGGGCCTCCTTTGGCTGGCCCCACTGTGTGCCTTTCGTATTGCGTTCGGGGAAGTGAAAAGGTGTTCCTATCGTTAGGCGGTAACACGGCGGCATTGCGCGGTCGCTGTAGGCTCCTGGAGTCTCCTGGAGGCGCTTGAGGTGGAATGCTGGGCGGTCGACCTTGCGGCCTGGGCGGGTGCGATTTGGGGCGGCCGTGAGGCGGCGCCCGCCCGTTGCCGTTATGCGGCTGTTGCTGTTTTTTCGCGGCCTCCTCGCGCTCGTACGAGTCGAACGCGTAGTTGGTGTTGGCCGAGTAATCTTTCCAGGCAGAGTTCGGGATTAGGTGGTCCTGCGGGCGGGTAAACAGCGATTAAACTATTAAATAGCCAAATGGTTTAACACTTGAAAAAACAATCAACGGGCAAAGTGGTCGCAAGGGGTGTATTTACACTAGTGGAAGAATGGTTACGATTTAGTGCTCTACTGGAAAGAGTGGTAACAAACGCCAGAGCGCAAACACCCTGTGTTGTGCGTGCAATAAGAGACGACGCAGGTTAAACACGAGCTCGACGTGTGGGCAAAATTTCACTTGTGCCTAGTTGGGGCAACAGCGAAAGCAATCAAGCGGTAAAGCTAAATATCCGCTATTTGCGCGAAAGAGTGACTCGTATAACCGGCGATTTGTCACTTATAGGCCTGTCGGTTTCTCCATAGTTGTACGGGGCAGTGACCAAAAGGGCCTGCTATGCAAATAGTCAGTGACTACTGTATTTGTCTATGCTTATAATTAAGGGCGGATCCAGGGGGGGGGGTCATGGGGGTTATGACCATGATTCAAATTTTTTGCTTTCTGGGTCAAAACTAGTCGAATTTCCTCACTCACGTTGTTACGTCTGAAACGACTTTTCAATTCTCTATCCAACGATGCCAAAACGAATTCTGTGACTCGAATGGTTCTTGAGAAACTTCGAAAAAAGCAGCGTCATGTTCAAGTGGACTTTGCAACTCAAAAAAAACCTCGCAGATCTAAAACTTCTTGAATTCAAGCATCTTTTGAGAGAACTGCCAACATTTTCTTATCCATGGTTCACTTTCTAAAAAGGCCATTTATTTCTGTCTAGAATGATGTACAAATGAGCCTTCCTGCTCATTTTGCCTGCGAGATATGAGCGAAAACGGCACGGAAAACATGGAATTTTGGCATAATCTTGCACCTAAGTGTCTGATATTCAAATTTCGCTTTCTGGGTCAAAACTACTCGAATTTCCTCACTCA